ACAGTCTACAAGTGTAGCAGTAGACATGAACCTATCAAAGAGTGTATTATACACCTACACCCTTTTGTATTACCTCACCTAAGGATGTTTATCGTTTTGAATACCATTTTTGTGCTCTTGTTTTTCTCAAACCTCTTAACTATTTTTTTGTGTTATTGATCTTTCTTGAAACCGTGAAATCGGAGGATGTGTGAGAAAAAAAAAATTAATATAGTACTTTCATAATGATTAAACTAAGCCTTAATTAATTTTTCATCACAACCTGCCATTCACTGTTAATGGCCTTTGAGAAGTACAGAACAAAACAATGGCAAGCAGGGAAAAAAGGATTTTCTGCTGGGTACATCTGTAAAGCTCAATACATTCTCTCTCCCTTCCTCTCTCTCTTTCTCTTTCTCTCAGCCTCTTAAGAAGCTGCGGGTCCTTTGTTTGCACATTTCATTTTAACAGCGCAGAGGTAATGTGTGGACCCAGTAACCATTCTAATGTCTAACTGTAACCTTCACTAATGGAGTCTCTAGAGCTTGCACAGCCTCCCGCTCCGCACAATATCATTCAATATTGCTCATTGTTGGATACCCCCCCCACCTCCTCCCCTTCCTCAAGCCTGGAGTGCTGAGCTGAAAAGCTCTACAGTTTATTCACAGAGCCCCCCTTGTCTAAACTCTTAGGTAGGGTCGTGAAATCGGACACAGGGGTTGTGTAAATTTCTCAAACCTAAATATAAGAAACCGAAGTAAAGGGGTTTTGTGAGTGACGTCCGGCAATTGGGAGTTTTTCTTTTTGGTTCAATCAAGCATTTCAAAGCTAATTCCAAAAGTCTTCCGCCCCATCCCCTCACCCAGCCCATTTTTCATGCCATTTTATGTGTTTTTGTACAGTGTAAGGGGCTCTGCAGAGCACCTGAGCACATTCAACATGTTTGCGATGACCAATTAATGGCTTTAAGAGCTAACAGCTAGGCCTTGATGAAAATCCTCGCAGTTGAGTCATGATATGTGGTTAAGATTTGGGTAGAGATACAGCCTCACAAGAACACAGCAGACATATCTTGTAAGAGGAATGTTGAGTTGCAGATATTTATGCTGATCATCATCTGCTCTTGGACAGATATTTTTGCTTCATTCAGCCCTGAACAACATTTACTTTTTCCCCTGCATATTTCATAGTATTAATACAAACAGTATGATGCATGGAAACACCACTCTTCCAGTCTAAAAAAACCCAGGAAGAAGTCTGCAAACTTCATTCCCGTTTCTCTTTTTGTGCGTCAGATACCCCTTGAAATCATTTCTTGTGTTTTACATGAAACAACTATTTTTGTAAAAGCTTTACAGCAGGCCTCACTTGTGTGTCTTCATTTACAGTATGATGAACGTGGCAGGTTTTGCACCAATATTGCAGGATGTTTTAATTTATCTCTTGTATAGACAACAACATATAGTTAAAAATCACAAATTTAGCTTATACAGTATCACATTTTGGGTGTGTGCAAAGGGAAAACCCAGTGATGACATACAGTATACACATATATGAGCAGAAGTTGATTACAATATTTATCTTTCAAAGATGATTAAATTCTATGCCTCATGCCTGTCTTAAACTCCGTTCCTCTATGGCAGGGATCATCCAACACATAGATTGCAAGCCAATGACTGCCTCTCAGTGACTTAAAAACAGCTTTCAACTACAATTAAACACTTGTTCTTGTTATATAGAATAAAAGATCTATAAGTTCTGAAGTTTGTAACATGTTTGTAACACAAATTCCTCTTCTCATTCATTGGAATAAGACATGCATTTGTTGTATTTTCAGTTAGAATGTGCATCCAGTGCGTGTTGTTTAAAGAAAAAGATCACTAATTCCTTCCATTTGAGATAGATCACCGCCTCAGAATCATATATGTCCGATAACAAGATATGTGAAAGACAGATGCAATTCCTTGATTTGCTGTGGAAGTGTAACAGGCAAGAAAATGGGCAGTGGAGTGCTTAAATAGGTGTACACAAAGTATTATAAAAATATCTTGCAGGAAGCAATTTATGCATCATAAAAGGTAAGAAAACTAAAAGCTTTTTTGTAGAAGCTGATCAGTATCTACTGTATGAATCCAGTAAAAAAGAAAGTAGGTAGAAAAGCATCCTTTCCAGTTGCTTTCTGCTAGACACAGGATGAATCATTCTTCATTTTAAAATACAAATCAGAAATCACATTCACTATAAATGGAGTTCAGTTGGGTATTGCTGCTTTATCAAAGAATTTATCTCCCAATGTCTGCCAATATTTAATATGGAAGCATCTTTCTATTAATGGTGTTATTTAACAGAAGTTCCGGAGGAAGTCTGTTTGTAATTTTTCTCTTCCACTTCCACTCAAATACTTGCCAGCTACCCACAGCTCTGAGCCCATCTTTTCCAGCACCCCTTCCTCCACCCCAACAGCACCCTTACAGCTGCCTCCCTGGTTCATTCCTCATAAGTGTGCTGTGACCTTTGGCCAGGCAAGTTAATGCCAAAGTATTAGGTATGTTATCCTATGACATTCGTCCTTTTGTTTGACAGAAATAAATAAAATGGTGGTTGTAGAACGCTACATTTTTGTTTAGTGCCAGCTAGTTTGCTACACTGTCTACTTGTATATGAATTCTATTAGAGGATAGTAGTGCAACAGATCAGGTTTCAATACTACTACAAAACAACAGACAGGAACATATGTTCAATGAAAAAAAAATAATGGTATTTTCCGATAAAAAATGCCAACAATATAATAGACAATGACAGACTCTCAAATCATATGATTTCTTTCATTTTCTTTACTAATTTGTATCTTACATCAACTGTAAAGTTGTGTGATGTACAACATATACAGCCAAAGCAAGAGCTCTAAAACATCGACAGTGTCCTCCCAGTATAGTGACAATTTGGTTCAGTATGAGCTGAGGTGGTTTAGTTGAGTGTGTTCATTACACTGTTGCTTAGTTTTTCTCTTGTGTCTAAAATTAGAACACTCTTGGAATCGAGACATGAAAGATGCCTCTGAGTTTTTTTTGACTCTACAAGGATTGCTCTTTCTAACTTCAAAACAAATTTTGTCTGTGTGACCTGCTGCACAAAATGCCATGCCTCACATCCCGGTAGCATTTTAGGTAAGAACATTAATTTTCTTTACTTTCGGTTTGATATTTGTGAAGAATGGGCTGCCTGTATTCTTGCCTGGTACTCAGATGAAGCCTGACTGAGTCCTTCAGTGTTCGAAAATAATGTACAATCTCTGGCATTCATGAGACAGTAATTAAAGTATAAGGAAGCCAGCATAATCGTTATATATACCACCGGTTTTAAGTGTTTTAGGCAATGATGATAAAAAACATTATTGAGAATTAGCGCAGAGTTTGCAGTAGAGAGCCATGCAGTTTATTTTTTTAATGTTAACTCTGCTGCACAACGGGCAGTAGTCTACTGAACAAGATAGCAATCTCTTTACACTTCGCATTAAAAAGGCAAATTGCTCCAGCACAATCAGACTTGTAATAAATATGCAAAGTGCTATAGACAATGGTTACAAACAGTTGATGCTCTCTCCTTTAAAACAAAGGAGGTGACTTTGCTGCAGCCTCATTACACACATTTGTTAGTCAGAAATGAAAAGCACTGATGATGTGATTAGGCAGGTTATTCAGCATTTCCAAATGATCTTTGTTGTTCTTGCTTTACCATTACATATTTCAGATACCAAGCAATAAATTGTGCTGCAGCTATTCACTGATTTTCAACAACCACAAGCTGTGGTTCCACACATTATATTGAGAAATATTTAGCACAAAATACAAAACCTGAGACATTCAGCAAAAGAGTAAAATCTTCCCCAACATCAAAAAGCTTCAGCTGCAAGGATAGATTCCTACAACAAACTGCCTAACAATACAGCATCACACAGCAACATAAAGAACAAGCTAGACTTCAAGGAGAAATACACAATTTAGCAGGTGTTACCGACTTGTGTTACTAGTCCTGGGATTCCAATACACAAGTGTGCACAAGGAATGGGCCCTTCTGGGCTTCATGCGTTGTGAGCTGTAGGTGAGTGTGCACCCCATGTCTGCCACCATGAGATGGATTACTTTAGTAATCCAGGGCTCACAATTAATGAATCCTATTTATACCACATGACTTCCAGCTGTATGGTAAAATCAAGCACTAATCACTTTCAGAGTGTCTTGGTAAAGAGCAGCACAGGTGGTTGTACAATTTCCCACCTGTCACCCACAACACAGAGGAGGGGACAAATGTGTGGGAAATGATAGCTGCTGGCAAATATGCCACAGGTAATTATCAACTCCTTATGTGGGAACAAAAAGCATTTCGATTGGTATTGAAATCTGCTTTATTTAATTCTTGCTTTCACCCTTACAGCAAATTACAGCAATGACATCCACCTCATAACCTTACGCCCCTACATAAAAGCTTCCCATGAGTAGTCTTGCACCCTTCCCAAAAAGCTCCACTAATTCACCAGCAGCCTCAAATGATTTTTTCTAACAGAATTTTAGATAAACATACGCATATTTCTAGAACAAAGATCTGTGGCAGACATACACAACTCCAAAGGGCCTGAGCTCTCAACTAGCTAATTAATCCAATTATTGGATCAACTGCACCACTTTATCACCTTCTCCCAGTTCTTTAGGTGGTGAAGATGGAAAGAGACGTTTTCTAAGACCAACATGTTGATGGACCTCCAGGACAGGAGCTTTGTATACAGCCATGATCTGAAAGAGCCATAAGTCCTTCTGTTCTGTACTGTGACAAATCTCTGGGTGAAAAATGATTTGCTAGACATATGATTTGCTTCCTCTTAGGTATATTCTTCACTCTATACTCTCCAGCCACTTCAAGCTACCTATAAACCCTGGAGGTCTGCTTCTTTCCAGGAGCAGGCCAGCAAACCCATGTTCCAGGAAGCGTGAGGGGGGAAATACAAGTTTTAGCCCTGAACTTACCCTCAGGCTCATTTTTGATAAGCTCCTCCATCTTCCTCTGCTTCAGCGTGTCTACCACATCGGCCAGGCTGCCTTTACGTCTCTCTGGGGTGCCCAGTGCTGTGCTGGAGCCCGAGTCGCTGCCCTGGCGCACGCCCTCGTCTATCTTGGTCGGTGAGGTAGATGAGCTGCGTTGAGCATATGGACTCAGAGACGCACCCTTATTGCCATCTAGGTCCTGACAAGACAACCAGCCGAGAGGGAAAGAGGGTGTAAGCGTTAAGTGTTGTACACACTGCTCTGCGCCTATCTTCATTTATTTTGTTCTAAGAAAAGATGACATAGGCTCTGCACTTTGAATCTTTTTGTTATATTTTATCTGCTAGTATTAAATATACACTGCAAATATATTACAGCTACTTAGATCATATTCTACAATTTTTTTTCTGTACATATACATTTAAAATCAATTATCATATTAATGTCCTCTAAGTAGCATAAATAGTTGTGTTTCTTACTTAGTTTACTAAGTTATTTAGTTGTTTAGTTTATTGGGTTAACCAACTGGATTACCAAATTTTAAAAAAAAATGTGAATATACAATTGCCAGCAAGGAAATTTTCAGATTTTTTATTTTTACCCATAAAAACCCATGGTTGTCTTATTTTCCAACAGCTGTTTTTTATTAAAGGAGTTGATTATGAATACTCTAAGCCCCCACCTAAGAATTTGACATTTTGACAACCAATTGTATAATGATCTGATTAGGCTGACTATTATATATTGACACCAGAGTGCAAACTTAACATTTCACCTCAAGGCATTACACTAATGTGTCCAAAGTACACTTTAAAATGGCTATCAAGAAGACTGTTCCGTAAAAAAATAAAAACTTGTATGCAGTGGACTGAATATTCTTTTAATTTTTCCACAGGAGTGGCAAAACATCATTGCATTTAAATCCAGAAATCAAAACTGTAAACAAATATATTAAAGCTTCTTCACATTTTCATCAAATTAAAAAAAAAACCTGTAAAATGTGGTATCACCTTTAAATTTTCAATTGCAGGCTAGAACAAAGCTTGGTATAAACAGAAGAACATCCATATGATGGTAACAGGTCTAGTGTGTTTATTGGTTTTAACTGTTAGAAATCCATGACTTTAAGTTGTCTTTGCAGTCTCACTGGATCTGTTCCAAAACCAGGGATATCTATCGAAAGGTTTAATTACAAAACAAGGCAGATATTTGCAAATGAGGTCAATAAGTCTTCCTTTGTTAATCTTGGTTAAGCTTCACCTAATCTAGTCTAATTATCTATTACAGCACCTTGGTGATTGACAGGAAAAGTCACATCATTAGACAATGGAATAATCCAGTTTGAGCTTGTGGCAGCTTCACTTGAGTGCAAAAAGAAGTTTTTATTTACTTGTTTTTTTTTGCTTTCATGGTAAACGAACCGTTTTCATACTGTTCTTCTCCATCACAAAACAGGGCCAATGGAAAATGAGCTGGTTGCTTTACTGTCGACTGCCATGTATTCAGTTACACTCAGTGATCAGAGTTTACAGATAAAGATTGCAAGGGTTAAGACTCACAGGGTGTTCCACAACATATGGAACTGGAACTGAATCAAAAACTTACATTTTTCCAGACATGTTTAATGAAACTTCCACTTATTAGCTCTCTTCACTATAATCCATACCTAATACAGAACTATTTTCAACAGGAGAGAGATGAAGAAAAGCATCATGCCGCACAGACAGCCGAGAAAGTCTGGAATGGTACCCGAGGCCTGGAGCTATGAAATAATCACCACGTCACGGATCTGTCCTGTGGTAATGTCAGTTCCTAATGTAAGTTTGTCAAATTGCCACTACAAATCTATTAAAAAAAACAAGCAATTATAATTCATATTAAGCTAAGGTAATTTTACAAGATCACAATGTACTGTATATCCATAAAAACAAAAGAACATAATGAACAGCAATGTACACACCAGAATCTTACTCCTGGCGTGATGGAAACAGAATTCAGAAGTGCCAAACTCACACCATTCGGAAGACCACGCAAACACGCAACTTTTGAACTGGCACAGCTACTTGGACCGTGTCCATGTGAAGAACGGAAATGAACCGATTTGTTTTCTTTTTTTCCATTTCGGTTGGGACTGTTCAACCTGTAGAAGCCCTGGCGTAAGCAAGAGGGCCCGTTGTTGAGGGTAGCACAACGAAGGACGGAGAAAAAGAAAAGCACGTTTCCAAAAAACGGCAAGAGTGGTCTGATGTAAGAGTGAATGCCGTCAGTGATGGTTCCAATACCCGTACATTTTTTTCTGCTTTCGTCTCTGGTATAACTACCCTCTCTCTGAACAGGATATATATGTACTCTAGTAGCAATGCTTACTCACAGAACTGGAATATTCACTTCATGGCACAAAAGAAAGTTGGATTAGCTGCAGAGTTAGGAGGAGAATCATTTTGTCCAGGGGACTCAAGGTCAGTGACCCCCCCTATCCGATTGTGAGGAATCAAATATTTGCATCACCTGCTACTCTGACATTGAAACAGCATTTCACCTAAATACCTGCCACATTTAAACCACTGTGTTGTAGCTGGGAGTTGTAGTTTGTATGCATGTATAAAAAAATGTAGGTTCTGTAAAAATAACAAAAACATTAAGTTAAAATATTCACGTGCCGCCAAAGAGTTTTGTCTTGGTAATGAGAGATCATCAATTCAATTCCTATGTTTTTGTAGAACCCTGAATAATTAACAGCAATTATTACAATTACATTAAAAAAACACATTTAAAGCATTTTTTCCCCTATATTGTCCTTATTTTGGTTTGTAAGTGAATGTGAGGAATTTCAGGTGCAAAAGTGAAATGTACAGTCATAATAACACCATAATTACTGTGATCCTATATGTGTGGCTACAATATTAAAACAAATGTTTTTTTATATATAAATTATCTCCACAAATCAAAGTTACCCAAAAAGGCTAATATCTGGTTTATTGAGGCAATCTGTTATTAACTATTAACTAATGTCCTAACTGGTGTATTTTAGTACACATTAAATGCTGCTAATTGGACTATATCTACAGTATATTATGGAATGTATATCTGCCTGCAAAAAAATTAATCACTGGAAAATGACAGTAGATTTCTCAATGCAGACAGAAATAAAAGAGCAATTCTCAGTTCACTTCAGAACATCTTAGAAAAGAAGATGTTTACTTTTATTTAGCAGACTTAACATTGTACTAGACTTCAGCTACACTAGTCATTTCTACAAAAAATATACCATTACAATGACAACATATCTATTTATATTATTTTGTATTAAGAGACTAATTAAATTTATTATATAGAACTTTACCCTTATAATGAACAAATTAAGAAAATGCACTGTATGTTATTGCTTCCGAATCACTTCAAAACGATTCATATTGAAATCACTAGAGACTCATTAAAAATAAATAAATAGACACATTTTCTTATAAATCACTGTCTTTGATGTGTTTAGAACCAACAGAAGAAAGAAATATCTCATAAAATTATGGGGATCATTTCTGCTCATCAAAATATTATGTATAGATGATGCCATATGATCTCACACTCTTAGATATGATTTTCATGATTTATCCTTTGATCATATAATCTTTCAGCCAAATGACAAATTATGTATTGTAACAAAACAGCCACTCATGATTACATTCTGGTACTCAGAAATTTAGTTTGGAAATAAAACTTTACAATGATTTAAATGTTAAACACTGTGTCACAGGGAAGCTAGTTTTTAAACGAATATCAGTTGTAACTCTACTGATCAAGCCAGTAATACTTTTTATAGTACAGCTCTGACATACAGCACATTAGACCTAGCATGCATTTAAAAAATCATGTCACACCTGTCATATCAAATTTCTTTAATCCATAGCCTACTTATAAAGAAGAACTCTTTTTCAAAACTGTCTTGAAAACAAAACAAAATAAACAAAAAAAAAACACTAGACAAATTTCCAGGCTATATAACTAGTAGAGTTCCTAACAAAGATGCTTACTCAAACACAGTTAAAACAACATGAGTCTTTAAAGACAGCTAAATTGATTAATGAAGTGTTTTCACGGATTAAAATGCTAAGGTTCTCATTCCCTAAGCTAGCTTTTATGCACAGATTCCTTTGGATTCAAGAGCACACAGAATTAAATTTGGGGTGTCAACACTAGAAAGATGGGGACTTTAATCAGAGTGTAAAACTTAAAACAGACAAATCCGATTCCACATCATGGGAAAATTAATTGTATTCATTAAAACCATAAAAACACAGTCTGATACCTGTCTATGAAGAACATTAAAGTGGCTAGGAACAGCCAGCAGTACCTACAATTGCTGAAATGTTGCCAGTCCAGGTGGAATGCTAGATTATACACTTACACCTCACACTGTTAACAAGAATTGCCTTTTTAAAGCAGTCTATTTCTCTGTCAAACATTCAATTGCTGTGAGCTAGTGTCATATATATATATGCATTTGATGTGCACTACTAAGAGTGTAGGTGGTTCTGCTTTTAGTTTGCAAATGTCAATTCTATTCTACATCACTTCTAACAAAGTAAATAAACTGTACTCTCAAGTATTTTACTTTATCCTTTTAGAGCTTAAGCATGGAAATAGAATTAAAGCAAGTTTTGTTTTTTTAAGCCCCTCTCTGAACAGTGAATATTTAAACAGACTTAACACTTGGCAATAAATCTACATACATTTGCTTTTTTTTTCTTCATACCAAAAACAGAAGCTATTATTTTTTCATCCCAGTATACAGCATAGAAGCAAAGCCAAATTTCTTGTATGGGCACTTGTAAAAAATAATTAATGAACACAGAGGAGATGCCTTAATAATTTAACACAACATAAAATCTAGACTGATTAGGATTTTAGCAAAAACATTATTCATTAAGAAGAGGCTATCATTCATCCAAATAACTACACATAGTTTTGTCAATTTAAGTCATTTCTGACCATTAGCAAACACATTTCAAATTCTCTAAGAAAGCACCAGGCTAAAAAAGGTTTTGTCAGTTCCGATTTTAAGCTGTTGAGGACTTTCAGCTGAGCATACAGATCTCAACACTGCAGGTCACAACCAAACCACAACCGAAAACCTTAAGAGCAAGGAAGCACACTTTTTTTATAAAATGATCTGCACAAGGTATAACATACAGCGTGTCTTGAGAAAAACTGTGATTCAAGTTACAGCTAAAAATAATTAAACACACTTACTGTATACTGAGCACATTTCACACCAGATGTTTCCATATACAGTATACAGGAGGATACCTAGTTCATTTACCACTGAAATACAGCACCTGTATTAGACATGACACCCATTAGGTGCCTGTAGCCTCACACTGCCACTAACGCCACTGTTCTTCGGAACAGTGCCATGGGATCTTGACTGACCAATTAATTCAAGACGTGTTCATCTGAATGGAAGTTCAGCGTCCCCATTGCTATACTGGGGCATTGGTGTGGAAATTGCTCATTTGGAAAATTATATAAACACAATTATGTTTTTTGGAATATGAAAACTGTAAAAAAATAAATAACTAAAATTCTGAACAAAACTGTTCAGAAACGGTTTTATTTTTTAATTTCAATAAAACTGAATGATTAAATATTTATATTAATCTTCTTATTGCTATTACTACATATGTGTATATTTATGTGTAAATTAATATTTAGAAATGGGTTTATTTTGAACATATTTAAAGAACACCTTTTATGCAGTTTTGACAGACACATTTGATTAGATGTTTGTGGTGAATATTGACCACACTGTGCTGTTCCGCTGAAACAAAATTATTATTGAGCATAAAGTTGTTTTCACGTTTTCAAATAGGCTAGCTCATACAGTATGAATTCTGGCTGAATGGAGCTATTTAATGTAGTTCGCCGATAATGCTAAATTCAAGAGCAAAAGCTTAGCTTTGAAAAGATTGCAATTCAATGTATCACTTTTATTCGACTTGTACAATAAACCCTTATAGACAAGATCCGTCTAAATAAAAAAAGGTCGCATCAACGGTTAAAAGATACTGGTTAATTAAGACTCGTAAAATAAATGGTTATCTCGCAGGATGAGTTGTAATCTATCAAGGCTGCACTTCATCCTTGAAGCAAACAAAACTAACAAATTGGACATGAAATGGGCGGATAAGGTGCGATTAAAAAAAAAAGTTCTCTCTGTGCTCTTCTCCTTGGCATGTACTACTCATTAAACAGACAACAAAGGCTTAATTAACACCTAGCTATTATCACCTGCGTGTAAAAGCCTTCCCCTTTTCTAAATGCTTCAGTTTTTACCCTAAAACGCTGGGGACCATGAAAGATGTACACACGCGTGCACTTTACACACACACACACACGCACGCACAGGCAGAAGAGAAAGATTTAAATACCGTTCCTTTTCACTCTTAGCAGCAATTTCCACAGATGAAGAGGTCACCACTGTTTAACTGTGCGCTGCCGTGTTAATTTAGTATGACAAGATAAAGCAGTAATCTCTGCTTGCGAGAGGCTGTAAGCCACCCGCTATCCAGGGACACGCTCGAGTCGATTTACACTGTATATCACTTTATACAATTGCCGTGACAAAGCCCCTCTGAGTTCTCTCATGTAAATCTCTCTCTCACTCAACTTTGCTGCCAGTCAGAGGGGATCGGATTGGCGCTAAAGCCTTAGCAAACTTAACATCTTACACATGCCAACCAGCTCTGCAATCCAACCCAAGAGAAGATGTTTAGAACTTAATAATCCATTGATCCCACTTCCACACAGGACGGCTTGCTTTTTTTTTTGTGTGTGTGTGTGGCGACAATCTGTCCATTTTAGTTGTCATCCGGCCGATTTAAGTTGCATTTCGTGTTTTTGAGATTTGAGGATTTAAAAATTCTCATGAGTTAGTTGATCTTCCTTTTTCCTCTTAGAAAAAAAAAAGATTCAATTTTATGATACGTCCTAATGGGAAAGTTTTGGTGCGCATTAGACTTGCTAATTGTGTCGTCGGAGTGACCGAAAATATGTAAATATCTAAAAAAACTGAGGGAAAATAGCTGAAAGGAAACTGATGGAAATATGGATTGTAGAATGCTAATAGCCACTCCGTATACTGCCAGTTTGGTAAAGAAATCCGCGCAGAACGATTGGCATTATTTTACATTAATATCCCACAAACTAATGTGATTTACTTGACGTAACTTCATACATTGTGTTTTTTCTCAAAAATAAATATAAGGATTAAGATTTCACTCCGAGAAAGAAAAAGTCTTCAGGAACACTTTTTTTAAATTAACAACTGAACTGAATCAGTTCATGACATTTAAACACCCTGGAACACTACAACTTCTAATAAGTGAATTATAGATTGTTTTTTAAATTAAACAGAATACTGGTTTTAATGTAATGCAACTAGTTAACCGCAAATATATCATGCATACTATTTCAGATTTAAGTAATAGCTTACATTTTGATAAAAAAAATTGCTGATGAATTAAAAGGAAAATATCAAACACAAAACAGCCAGCAGAAAAAGGTTTTTGACCAGCTAAATAATTTAAGAGGACAATAATTAAGAGGGAAGCAAACAAAACTTTTTCTATGAGAGGCAGTGACAGCAGTTTCTAAATCCCAGATCACCTCAGGTTGTTTCCAGACATTATGGGAAATTTAAAAGTTAATTCCCAAGACAGTCCTTAAATCCAGTTACAGCAATGGAACAATCAACATGTTAATATAAATTTTTACAATTATGTATACTGCTTTAGTACAACATTCCTTTCTGAGGTTTGTTCATCTGTTTACACTGGTTTATCAGAGAGATAGCAGGCTAGCAGACCTGGTGGAAAGTTCAGTTCTTCATTGCCTAATAGTAACTCAGGCATCCACCCACATGAAACCTGCTTGTCATTAGTTTAGGCAGTACAGCCAAGTAGCTATTTTTCTGCTAGGGCCCATTAAATTAACAGAGCTCTATTCTGACACAAAAACAGGGTATCTGTTTTTCCTTGTATAAATGAATGCATCTGATTTATTTGTGACGATGAGTTGGTGAACGTTCTTCTAAATAAAAAGTTAACAGCAGAATAACAATTGCTTTACTCAATGAAAACAGGAACAAATGCTGCAATAAGCCTTCTAGTTTTTTATTCTTTTATTATATACAATTCATTTATTGGATCTGAGAAAGCACAATTAGATTCTGCGTACTATGGAAATTTCCATAGTGGTCCTTACTGGGCAATTTCATCTATATTGAAATGGATTAAAAAAAAAAGATAATTTGTTCGTTTGTGAACATCGTTCGAAAATCAAGTGATATAACAAAAGAGGTAAAATTAACCCGCTATCCGTCCCCTAGAAATACTCCTACCATTGAGTTGTGGAGAGATGGAGGACTGTCAAGGCCTACACTCTCTCTGGCCAGAGAGTTGGGTGACTGAAACTCTTCTGAGTGAAGCTTGGTGGTGTAACTGGAGTTCAGGGGTAAGTGAATGACAGGGTGCCCATCACTTTCCTCATCTTCCAATTTCTGTCTGCTTGTCGCCATGACTACCTCTCCATCTGTTCCCCCATATGGAGAGGCTGGTCGCTTGGAAGACATCCTGGAAACAAAAAAAAAGGGGGGGGGGGAGTATGAAATATCGACATTCTCGTATTGTGACCAATGCATTATAGTGCCATTGTAGTAAGAGGGCCTTTGTGCATCGGCACAGCTGAGAAACCAATCCCAAACACACTGTAGATGAAACTGCATCCTGGATGAAAGCTAAGCAAGGGTGTGCAAAGCAAAAAAATAGACCACGATGGCCCACAGCAACACAACATCAAATATCTAACGTGATGCCTAACTATGAAAAAGGTATTTATCTGCTTCCCTGCCATTTTCATTTTTAATACTCTTTGGGTTTTTCATGAAACAAAATCTTTTCATCCCTGTTGCACTTTTTTGTCTGTGTCCTTGCGCCCTCATTTGCACTATTTTATAGTGCAAAACAAGACAAAGTTTGAGCAGTCTTTTTATTTTAGTTTTCAGAGTTGGTAACATCTTACTTTCAGCTTCGTCTAGTATTTAAAAGGTACATCCTTGCAGGAAAAAGAGGGCTGGAGTCACCTATTGTACTGCAGCTGGCCAGTGCAGGCTCAGAGTACTAGAATGAATCAACAGAAAAAGTGCATGGTGCACATACACTTATGTCTATCTGAAAATAAAAAAAGTATTATTATCAGTAGTAGAATAAACAACATTCTTTTTTCGGTTTTGGCAATCAAAACCCCCATATTTGCTCCAAAATTAGGAAAAGAAAGAACACACTTTTATCAAGAACTCTGAATGGAATCCAGCCCGAGTATAACTGACAAACAGAGGGCTATTTCAGAGGAGGAATGTTTACATAAATGTGCTGTGGATGACAAATGAAGATCATGAGCAAAACTCCATCTTTTGTACCAGGCATATCAAAGATATTCAGCGTAAAGGTCAATAATGCATTCACTTGCGGGTCTAACATATTAACATATAATGTAGTAACATATTACACGAACATATTTAATCTTGTCTTCCACTTCAAAGTGCCTGGGTAAGTGTCCCTCAGCCTTGAAGCTATTGCCACTATCACCCTTGGAACTATGTATCTTTCCCACTTATAAACAAACACAAAGAATTAAAACAGCCATGCTGTGCAGCTACTGTACCTCCCTGCACATTTCTCACAAAGAAACAGCTTTTGCCTGGCTGTGCTGCACAGATCTGGTAGCTTGCATAACAACTTATGGAATGCATAGAGGTAAAGTTCAAAGGTTTTGCTGGGGGAAAGGGAACATCTTGATTGGATATTACTTTATTATTCCAATAACCATAATAGGACTTTGGAGATAAGCCAATTGTGTCTATAAAAAAAACTTTGTATCATCTGTGCTATAAAAGGGTATATAAACAATCTTTTAATATGAGATTGTTTTATTTGTATTAAAATTAAATGCCACCGTACACGATGCACTTTAATTATAACAGCAAGAACTTCTCAGAGCTTGCCATGTCACTTCGCTACTAATGAGGACAGACTTTTTACAAGGAACTGAAACTCCCTGTTAAATGTGGCAACATTTTGACCCTGAAAGCCTTCTCTGATGTCTGATTTGAAATGCCTGTTTTCTTTCTTCAGTGCTTCAGTATTTCGATCTTTCTGCAGTGTTTATGAAGCCTTGTATAGTGACAAGCGAGAACTTTCCTATAAAAATTAGCCTGTATCTACTCCGGGTGCCTACAATGCCTGTCCTTGGCTCTTCCTTTTATTCAAAGCTAGTGTGATCTGATTGTCTTCCTCCAGAGGGTGATCTCTGGGAATGCCAGATCAATGCCAACATGATGATCTCCAAATTTATGTTGAAAAAACATACCTAAATGTTCACATGGGAGCGTCGCTGTCTTTTTGCTGTCGGCAAAAACAATATCTCATATTTTTACATTATTATTGAGCTGTAATGGGAGATCATTATTAATTTGTAAAAAGAGATGCTTTCAGGGTTTTTATTTGGTCTACTACACTGACATTCACATACGGAATATGATTTACTGTGGCCTGTTCTTATTAACATTAGATTTGTCGTTAAAGCAGCAAAGCCAATATTTAATAATTAAATAGAAAAGTTAGATATGCAAGGAAAGCGCAAAGACAAAAATTTTAAAAGCACTATTTAAGTATTGAAGAAAGAAATCACAGCTAAATCAGAGTGAAATACAGCTCATGATTCAACAGAAATGTTAAACACTGTACGCTGATCCTATAGCCTTCCTGAACACCTAATACCCCAACTTCCATGCCATGGTTTACTGCTTTTGTGCGATACTCTAAAGAAATTAAAAGCGACCCTTTTGCGGTGCTATTTAGGTGCCCAAACACAATAAGGACATTTTATTCAAAGATTCGTGTTTTTTTTCCACTCCGTGGAAACACTCCGTGGGGTCTGTCTGCTCGTTGGTCTGTTGCTTCACACTTACCAATAAAAGGGGAAAAAAAAAGCTCCAAAGAAAATCCAGCTGTATAAACTGTTGTCCTCAAAGAGTGCCAGCAGCGTGCTTACAAGCACACTGAGAGGGAAGGAGAGAAGCCTTCGTGCTACAAGGTAGGCCCCAGCTCTGTTTGTTTATTTTACCTCCATTCATTCTCACATACTGGAACCTTTTGTTACCACCCTCCCCCCCCCGAAAACACACACACACCCAACCTCCAGCCACACCTATCTGTCCGGATGTCAGTCACTGCAGTGACACAGGGGCTTTGTATCAACAAACCAGTGACTTTCCCAAGGGCGCGCGCTTATTTTCCAAACTAAATGGGATTTTTGAAAACCCGCTATGATCCGAGTCATTACTTCTTAACGGGAATAGGCACCCGTGTCTGTTTTTCTCTGCTGACCCGGGGGGGAAGCCGTTTTTGCGCAGGACCCGAATATACGCCCTATCATTCCAAATAAGTTCCATACAGGGTGAAATTGCCATTCTACCTCCTAAAATGTCCCTTTCTTTTCTCCTTAAAGAAACGTTAAAAAGAAAAACAGCCGAAATATTACCCTATTCCACAAACTGAAATGTGACTCAGTTCTGCCTTGTATTATTATTTTTTTTTGAACAAAGGCTGTTTTGTGCCTTGGGGGTCCCACTGCTCACTTCCCTGATACTTGTTTGACAATCTCACTTCAATCTGAGCTATCAAATATTAACACAGCTGAAAGATGTTTGGCACATTGGCTCAGCACATGGGTACCCCAGGGTGTTGCTGCTCAGCGGCATCAGGAGGTCAAGATTCAGCTTCGCACACTGCCCAGTAGCAGATGAGCGGGGTTGCAATACCCTGATTGCTTCTTTCAAGGTGCTGCATCCTTTTTAGGCAAGAATGTAGCGGAGATTGAGAGAGCAGAGAGGAAGAAAGATCATTGCTGATCCACTCATGTCATGTGAATTTCCTAACTGATCACGAATACTCCGCTGACAGCTTCTAACTTCAGGTACCAGCACTAGCCAGGCCAGTTTGCTTAGCGTGGCAGTGAGGGGGTGAGCAGAAAGGCCATTTCTTTTCCATGTTCATGCTGCCCTTTTAAAAAAGAGCTAGTGATTTAAAGCAGCCCCTCTCTTTCTTACTCCAGGTTTGCGTAGAACGTGAATCTGGATTTTTGGCAGAAAAAAAAAAATGATGTGGGGTAAGATTGGATTTTATGACATAACGCTTGCACTTTATCAAAGTCCATTTCATGGGGAAGTTAAAACTGCAAACAAGAGGCACTGTCTTACACAAAGGATTGTGGGGGGCTGGAACAAAGTAACCAGCCTGATTGGAACCGATACCCTAACTTCTTTCAGGAAGAAAAAATAGTAACTGATCTTCATGCCAATTATCTACCAATATTAATTTTGAATCTTATATAAAGATAGAAGACCAAATAAGGATTTTTTTCCCATGCCTGCAGGGACTATAAATGCTGCACCTTAATAGGTTTATCTGTTAATAACAACACTGAACAGCCACGTATCGAATATTGCATCTACCATCTGAAAGAGTGAAACGTCTTTCTTAATGGCAATGAGGGTGGTGAATGAGGGCAGCGATCAGTTTTATAAACTATTAGATCTCAGCTCTGGTTTCTGTTCAGATCTGTTTTGATGTATTCTATTAAAATAAACACAATTAAAAAATATAATGGATGTTAAGTGACTTAAAGCCTTAATCCTACCTTTGAGTGATGTAATTATCTGTTTTTACTGCAAGTAGTTTTCATTGCTTTATTTAAAGTCTTGATTGGTTAAATTAGATGGTAATCAACCTATTGATCACAATGCAGCACTATGATAGTGTACTAAGGATGGTCATTTCTAAATCAAGACAAAGCTATTTAATCAATCTTGTGGCAGTTCATTACTGAACACAAATCTAAAAGCTTCTATTTGACAACTCCCTCTCTCAGTTCTATTATTTCACATAGAATCCCTTTGTTTACACACAAATAAATAACTACCATCACAAGTGAAAAGCAGAAAATGTAGGCTCCTTAAGGGACATTTAAACAAACCTTGTTTATTGATTTATATACTATTGAGTTCCTCTAGTCTTGAATTGAACACATAGATAAATATCAACAAAATTGTACAAAACCTCATGAAGAATAACATAATTCAATTCTTACATATTGAACCCTGTCACACTCTACTCTTCTTTGTTTGTTATACACGTTTGGCTGAATGTAAATCCACAAATTCTTCCATTTTCTAACCACTTTATCTGGCACAGAGTCACGGGGGAGCCCGAACCTGTTCCAGCAATCAACAGGCACAAGGCAGGATACACCCTGGATGGGATGCCAGTCCATTGCAGAGCACACACAGACACAAACACACACACGGACTCACACAGGGCCAATTTTTCCAGAAGCCAATTCCACCAGTATGTCATTTGGACATGCAGATAGTTTTATTTTTGCCCCCATAAAAACCAATATCACCATTACAAGTAGTTAAAGCATCCCAAAACTTTGTATATCAGCATCCAGTGATAAGACAGCAAAAAGTAATAATGCCAGCAATTACAATAATGTAAAGAATGGGTTAATA